GAGTTGACTACAGGTGGTGTAGCTGGAGGAGCAGGGATGGCAACAGCGGGACGATTTCCGCCGATACTGCCGATGAATCCAACACCACTGTTGATCTCTGAAATTTCTTTGCTTGGAAAGTGGGGAAGGTAAATTTCATAGATATCAAAAGAATTAACACAAATTCAGCAATACTCCAAAAGCTCACCTGGCGAGATGGGCGTATCGGGAAGGTCCGGCTGTTTGTCTCTAAGAGGAAGCTGCGCTCGCCTAATTTCGGATTCAACCTTTGGCTGCTTAGCCTTCAATGATTTCTATAAGATAATTTTGCTTGCTATCAGAAGCGAAGACCTACTCTTGGGTCATTGATGGGAATGATGGGTGGCGGTGGAACTATGGGTGCACCGAAACCGACTTTCGCCTGATTAGGTGAGGTAGGGAGTGCGATTGGTGCTGGTCCAGCAGGTAAGGGGGTCGACGTGGAAATCTCGTCACCAAATAATTCGGGATGTTTCTGTAATAAATTTTGGAAAGTAGTTCTCATATAAGCTTGAAAAACTTCGAATTTTCACCTCCTCGAAAGCAATAAATTGATCGGCAATTGGAGGTTTGTTGCATAAATTCTGATTTCGACAAAGGCAGTAGGCCACCTAAACTCATGCAATTAACGGCGTCTTCTACGATTTCTTGAGCACCCAACCTCTTGACCCTGAACTTCGACCAGATCGCATTCTTCATCAATTGTATAGCCCTTATTTGGGAAAGTATGGTAGTGATCCTGTTCAGAAATGCACTCCTTCATAATCGTGTATGTGTCTGCAATTGACATAATTGAACTTTGGGAACCTTGCAACAGAGAACTGCTTGGGAAAGGGGACAGAATGACTGACCTGAGGTCGACTTTATGTAAAAAAGACATTGAGGAAACGGGATTACAAAGATGTTATGTTGTCTAGGAGTCACACGCAAATAGATCAGAAACACTAATCATAAATTCAGAGGATTGCTTAAGACATTCTAGAACATAAAGTAAATTTACTGACAATCATTTTTATTGTTCCTTTATTGCAAAAGAAACTGGCAAACATTCCAGGCCACTCCAAATGATATCTCGGAGGAAATCAACGGTGCATCTAATGATACTGCGAA